GACTTAGTGAGGCATAACGACTTATAATGCACTTTAAAACATATATCGATACATGCATGTTCTTTTCTATCATGTTATAGCAATTCCATGCATTCTTCGTATCATATAAAATCATATCAGATTAATTACAGTAAATACATACAGACACATAATTCATCATTAACAGTTTATCATGTAATCACATACTTTTATTGTTAACCTTTTCAATCAAACACTATACACACACAACATCATATGGTTCACGTAACACATTTCAAACCACTTATAACCCCATCGTATACATATCACATTCAGCATGCTTGTTTAATCACTTTATTAGCCCATGTACACTAGTGAGAACTTAAGGTATGTGAGTACATTGAGGTTGTGCACACATATGCTGTCACCACAGCTCGATCAATGTCCCGAAGACCAGTCCATAGATTCCGAAGAACCTAGGTAATCAGTCCATATGTCCCGAAGGACATAGGTAAACAGTCCATATGTTCCGAAGAACATAGGTAAACAGTCCATATGTTCCGAAGAACATAGGTAAACAGTCCATATGTTCCGAAGAACATAGGTAACCCTCGACCCTTGGCATGCCAACTATACCCCTAGCTCTCATATCACATAACATGGGCATTATCATTTATAACAGTTCACATTACTTATTCATATTCTTTCTCTTATAACCACATATCTTTTCTTTTCAGTCACGTATCACATGTACGTGTAATCATTGATCTCATAACCACATGTTCCTTCTTTTCTGTCACATACCACATGTATGTGTAAACATATATCTAATATCATATGTTGCATGCAATCACATAGATCTTATCTCATAACATATACTTGTAGTCACATAGCTTCTTTTCATATTCTCATAGGATCACATAGTTCATATCTTATACTTTGTTTTCTCATGTTCACATATATCATGTCATATGGCTCATATCTTTATCATGCAGTCACATAGTTCAGTTTCACATATGTTCATATATACATTACATAGCACATACTTCTCATAACATTACATTCAAAAGCATGTTAACACATATAATCATGCATACATACAATTCATGTCATTCATATACGTATAATCATATATTCATGCATTCTAACAGAGGAAATAGACTTGTCGCAAGTCTTGTTTCCATTTAGCACCATAAACTAATTAATATGCACTCACCTGGCCTCACTAGTCAATTCCAATCTCTTATCTTTCCCCTTGATCGATCTTACTTGCCAAACGTTCCGGAATTCTTTATGTGTAGAATCTACATAAATGTACATTTCGAGGTAATCATTAGATACCTACACCTTGTAATTGAATACTAGCAACTTAAACGAACTTATTAAACCAATATTAACATTTTTCTTTAGGGGGAATCGGTTCCCTACCATGGGGGTATCGATTCCATCAAGACATTCTGGAATTCTGTCGTTTGAAGGGGTATCGGTTCCCCTTGAATGGGTACCGATTCCCCTTGCCCAGAAATCATATTTTCAACCCGAAAATTACTTCATTTCCACTCAAACCCTTCATATATCATCCCCTTTTCATTCTTAACTCTAGTATACATACTTAAACCAATCTATATTCATTTATTTCATCTTAAACCTCAAAATCCTATCTTCCATATGAGATTCAAAAATCATACCAAATTTTCAATGTGTTCTAATTCCAATTCTAACACTCCAAATCTCTTAATTTAACCATTGACAAGTCAAATTTAACTTCAAATTCTACTTATCAATTCCTTTCCAAAATTTCATATAAAAACTCCAAATCTTTAATCTCTCTTAACCTCTCCATCATTTGTTTTTAAGATGATTTAAGCTTTCCTTAAGCTTAGTTATCATCTAATAATCAAAACCCAACCTTAAAATCAACAATTCATTTACAAACAAAGAACTTACCTTTTGAAGCTAGCCCCACGTGAAGAAGAGAAGGCAAGAAGAAGAAAGCTTCCAGATAGCTCTCTTCCCACGTGTATATAATTCCTTAAATGATCAAATGACCATTTTACCCTTTATTTCCTTTAACAATTACAAAATAACCTTCATCATATGCATCTAATAATCATAGAGCTATTTCATTCTTCTATTTTAGTCATCAAATTATGAAACTTTACAATTTGATCACTAACCCGGTATTGAGGATGTTACATTGCCTCACTAAGTCGATGACTTAGCGTGTGAGTGTTTCACACGTAGGATCCGATAAAGTAGACGATCGATGTTAAACAGCTGGACAACATTACTCCTGCAACTATCAGATCAGAAGCAACTTAATCAGTAGGTCATTTTGTTATGAAAATGGACGTTGTCATGTAACTAAATAGTTAAGTTGTGTATGCTCTGAATATTTTGGTAAACTTATATTACCATATGTATATTATCGTATTTTCTTAATATAAGTTCAAGTATTTTGCTATTACTTGTAAGAGTTATGTTTTAAAAGTCAATGTAATATCTCTGACTTGTATCCGGGTTGGATACGGGTTGGGGGTGTTACATTTAATGGTATAAGAGCTATGGTTTAGTCGATTATAGGCATAAACCAGAGTCTATAGAGTCTTTAAATGGGATACATGCCAACAAATAGTAAGAAATTCTGATCTGGTATAGTATGAGTATGTTGTTTTGCTAATAGAACAATGTGTTTATTTTATTAGATGTCTGGACATAATAGCTCTCGAAGTGAAGCGGGAGAAGATAGGCTTGCTGAAAGCAGTAATTCACCTGCCCTGGCTAGGCAAGGTGAAGAACAAGCATATCAAGGAGTGCCTGTGAAAGATCAAGATACGTTCTTCATAATGTTAGACGCTATTCTGACGTGTCTTTAACTTTCTGCTCCACCAACTCAAAGAATGAATATAGCAAAAGAGTTGAGAGGTTTAGGAGCTCCCGAATTTAAGGGAGAAGTTGAGGAAGGTCCAGTGTCAGTGGATCTTTGGTTGAATGATTTGAAAATCATGCTAGATGGTCTCCACTATTCCGAAGTGGAGAAGTTAGATGGATTTGTATCTTTATTGAGGGGTCAGGCGAGGATATGGTGGACGAACGTCACCATGAGGATGTCAAACGACCAGTTGACTTGGTCTTTGTTTATTGAAGAATTTAAAAACAAGTATATTGGAGATCAGTTTATTCGGCAAATGAAGCAGGAGTTTTTGAATTTGAAACAGATGAACCGCTCTGTATATGAGTATGAATGTGAGTTCAAAAAATTGAGTAGGTTTGCATCCGAGCTTGTGCCTACTGAAAAATAGGCTTGTGAATGGTTTGTGGAGGGCTTACACCCTAGATTGAAAGAGATGCTGATAGTATTGAATTTGTCCTCGTTCCAAGAGGTGATCAATCGTGCCAAGGCTCTTGAAAGAGCTCAGAACGAGAGATTCGGGGATTTTAGAGTTCAGACATCAAAGAGAACGGGTGCTTCTTCTAGCTCAGAACCATCAAAAAGAGGAAGATCAATTGCATCGTCTGCTAGGGGAGCAAGTCAGGCAAGACCTAGACAGACGCAGTCAGTGGGATCTGGTATTGGGAGATCTACTCCGAGTCAAGTGAGACAGTGTCAGCACTGTGGGAAAAACCATTTTGGGGATTGTCGGATGGCTTTTGGAACCTGTTTTCGATGCGGAGATGCTGGACATTTTATCCGAGATTGTCCATTGATGGTTGATGAGCCTGTACCATCTGAAAGAGTTGGTTCTACCTCACAAAGAGGACGAGGAAGAGGCAGAGGAAGGAACCAGTTTGAATCCTCTGCTCAACCTGAAGTTCGGTCAACTACACGGGTGTACAATCTAAAGACAAGTGAAAATCGTGATAACACTGATATTATAGCAGATACTTTTCAACTGTACAATAAATTAGTAATGCTACTGATTGATTCAGGCTCTAATTATTCTTACATTACAAGTAAATTTGTAAAGGAATTGAGGATCCCCTTAGATGTTACGAGTAATGAGATTATAGTAACTAATCCTTTAGGCCATAGTGCTCGGGTGAACAAAGTCTGTAAGAGGTGTCCCATAAAGATTCAGGGAATTGAATTCCCTGCTAATCTGATGGAATTACCCTTTGATGAGTTTGAAGTGATTCTGGGAATGGATTGGTTGTTCCGTTACTATGGAGATGTTAATTGTAGATCGAAAAGGGTAACCCTGAAAAGTCCAGGAGGAACAAGATAAGTGTGAGTAGTGAAAGGTTTAATCTTTTTGCAAATGTAATATCCGTGATGTCTGCCAAGAAGCTACTGTTGCAAGGATGTCAAGGTTTTCTTGCTAATGTGATAGATGTCAGAACTAAAGAGAAAGGATTAAATGAGATTCCAATAGTTCGCGAATTCTCTGATGTTTTTCCTACTGAGTTGTCAGGATTACCTCCAGATAGAGAGGTAGAATTTCAAATTGAAGTAATGTCGGGAACCGCTCCAATTGCAATGACACCTTATCGGATGGCTCCGAAGGAATTGCAAGAGTTAAAGAATCAATTGCAAGAGCTGTTAGAGAAGGAATTTATTCGACCAAGTGTGTCGCCTTGGGGAGCTCCGGTGTTATTTGTCAAGAAGAAATATGGATCAATGCATCTCTGCATTGACTATCGACAGCTCAATAAGGTGACAATCAAGAATAAGTATCCTCTCTCACGCATTGACGATTTGTTTGATCAGTTAAAAGGAGCTTCAGTATTCTCAAAGATTGACTTACGTTCTGGTTATCACCAATTGAAGATTCAGGAGAAAGACATTCCGAAGACGACTTTCAGGACGAGATATGGTCATTATGAATTCATCGTAATGCCATTCGGAGTAACGAATGCACCTGCTACTTTCATAGATCTCATGAACAGGATTTTTTCAGCCCTAATTTGACCAGTTTGTTGTTGTCTTTATTGATGACATACTGGTGTACTCGAAATCCTATGAAGAGCATAACGCACATCTGAGGATCGTCTAGCAAATTTTAAGAGATAAGAAGTTGTATGCCAAATTGTCCAAATGTGAGTTTTGGTTAAATGAAGCAAATTTCTTGGGGCATGTGATCTCCGCAGACGGGATTAGGGTGGACCCTCAAAAGATTAAAGCTATAATGGATTGGGAAGTTCCTAAGAATGTGTCTGAAGTTCGGAGTTTCCTTGGACTTGCCGGTTATTATCGAAGATTTGTTAAGAATTTTTCGATAATTATGATGCCTCTAACAAAGCTAATGAGAAAGAACGTACCGTTTAGTTGGACTTCTGAATGTCAAGAAAGTTTTGAAGTTTTAAAGGGAATTCTGACAGAAGTTCCTGTATTAGTTCAACCTGAAACTGGCAAGAATTTGATAGTGTTCAGTGACGCGTCCTATAATGGGTTAGGGTGTGTGTTAATGCAAGAAGGGAAAGTGGTAGCGTATGCATCGAGACAGTTGAAACCACATGAAAAGAATTACCCCACCCATGATTTAGAAATGGCTGCTGTAGTGTTCGCTCTCAAGATTTGGCGTCATTATCTTTATGGAGAGCGTTGTTACTTGTATACAGATCATAAGAGCTTGAAGTATTTAATGACTCATAAAGAACTTAATTTGAGGCAAAGGAGATAGGTTGAATTCTTAAAATATTATGATGTGATAATTGATTATCACCCCGGAAAGGTTAACGTGGTAGCTGATGCCTTGAGCAGGAAAACGTTTGCAGCCTTACGAGCTATGGACACAAGATTATCTTTAACTGGAGACAGTGGTCTATGTGCGGAACTAAGGTTTAAACCGGAATAGTTGGAACGAATTGGAGAATTACAAAGTAAAGATGAAATGTGTTTGAAAAGAATAGAGCAAGGAAAGAATAAAGAGATTAAGGATTTTGAGGTTAAGTCAGATGGAAATCTATATTGTAAAGGAAGAATTGTGATATTCGACAATGAAGACTTGAAGAAAGAAATATTGACAGAGGCTCATTGTAGTCCATTAACGATGCACCCGGGTGAACCAAGATGTATATGGATTTAAAGGATCGATTTTGGTGGCCAGGGATGAAACGAAGCATCACCGAATTTGTGTCTAAATGTTTGATATGTCAACAAGTCAAAGCGGAGCACCAAGTTCCGTTTGGATTATTACAACCCCTTTCTATTCCTCAATGGAAGTAGGATAATGTTACGATGGATTTTGTTTCGGGGTTACCCTTGACTCCGAACAAAAGAGAATCAATCTGGGTAATTGTTGATCGGTTGACTAAGTCAGCGCATTTCCTTCTGGTTAGAACAGATTTCTCTATGAAAAAGTACGCTGAGCTGTATATTAGAGAAATTATTAGATTACATGGAGTGCCTGTTTCCATAGTCTCTGATCGAGACCCTCGATTCACTTCTAGATTCTGGAAATCTTTGCATGGAGCGTTGGGAACTCGTTTAAACTTTAGTACGGCCTTTCACCCTAAGACAGATGGGCAATCAAAGAGAACTATTCAAATATTGGAAGATATGTTGAGAGCATGAGTAATGGAATTCAAAGGATCATGGGAAAAGTATTTATCGCTGACAGAGTTTGCTTACAACAATAGTTATCAATCCAATATTAAAATGGCACCTTATGAGGCGTTATATGGGAGGAAATGTCGTACTCCATTAAACTGGTATGAGCTCAAAGATCGAAGTGTACTTGGTTCAGATTTAATTCAAGATGTGGAAGACAAAGTGCGTGAAATTCAACATAACCTCAAAGTGGAATTTGATCGACAAAAGTCCTATTCTGATCTTAAAAGAAAAGAGATTGAATTTGAGGTTGGAGATAAAGTGTTTCTGAAAGTATCTCCCTGGAAGAAAGTCTTACGATTTGGTCGGAAAGGAAAGTTAAGTCATAGATTCATCGGGCCATATGAAGTTGTTAAGAGGATAGGAACAGTGGCATATCAGTTATCTTTCCCACTGGAGATAGAGAAAATTCATAATGTCTTTCACGTGTCCATGTTGCGAAGGTATAAGTCCGATCCCTCTCATATAGTTGCACCAGAATAAGTAAAAGTCCAATCGAATCAGACATATGAAGAAGAACCAGTGAGAATATTGTCTTATAAAGTCAAACAGTTAAGGAGTAAGACAGTTCCGTTGGTCAAGGTTCTTTGGAGAAATCACAAAGTAGAAGAAGCCACGTGGGAACATGAAGAAGATATGCGACTTCAGTATCCCCATCTGTTCGTACAATGAAAATTCGAGGACGAATTTTCTTAAGTGAGGGAGATTTGTAACATCCTCCATACTGGGTTAGTGATTAAATTGTGGAATTTTATAATTTAGGATCAAAGTTGATAAATTGAAAGTTGAAGGAATTTATTGAAATATTTGGTGTATGATGAATTATTAAGTGAATGAGAATTAAAAGGGTAAAAGGGTCATTGAGCAAATGTAATAATTAAATATTAGATATTTGGTATTATAACACCCAAGGGAAAGAAACAAGAGTTTCCAGACAACTATTGATTCTTCTTTCTTCTTCATTTTCTTCTTCAACGTGAAGCGCCCAAACTTAAGGTAAGTTTGATTTCTTTTGGTTAATCCTTCAAATTAAAGTATGGGTTTGATTTATGAAGCTTTAGGAAAGATTATGGAGATGGAAAATATTATAGAAACTCAAAGATTGGTGAGTTATGAAGGATTAAAGAAAGGAAGTAGAAAAGTGAAATCTTGGATTAGAGTTTCTAATAAGAATTAGAAGTGAGTTTTGACTTGTCATAAAGCTAAATAAGAAGTATGAGGTGTTAGAATTCAAATTAGAACATGTTGGAATTTGGGTTAGATTCTTAAACTCTACATGGAGAATTGGATCTCTAAGTTTTAAAAGTATGGAATGGATAATAATTAGTTTAAGTAAGAGTATGCAAGTTAAGGATATATAAAGAGGGGAAATATAAAGTGTTAAGTAGACTAAGAAGAGATTTTCGTGCTAAAATGACAATTCTGGGCAATGTGCATCGATGCACATTCATTGTGCACCGATGCATCGATGATAAATCCCAGAAATTTTTCAAGGTGTACCGATGCACATGAAGTGCATCGATGCACTCTTTTAAAATACAAACATCGAATGTAATTAATGCATCGATGCATAAGGAGTGCATCGATGCATCCCCATTAAATACAAACATCGAATAGGATTTATGCATCGATGCATGGTGTAGTGCATCGATGCATACCTCCATTAAAAGATGAAAATGGCTTTTCTTTTAGCCTAAGAATGATAGCTTAGAATATACTAATTAGTATACTGATAAGTATCAACGAATTACTATGTAGATATCGAGCCTAAACGAGTTCCGGAACCATCGACAAGTAGGATCAATCGAGGGAAAGACAAAGAAATATAGGTGAGTGCATATGCATAGCATGAATATGTATTCTATTCAGTTCTAGACTTGTGATAAGTCTAGATTCAATATTTTGATACATGATCGTATTTCATATTATGATACATGACATGAATTCATACCATATGCATTATGTGACATGAATATGCAAGAAAAAGTTATATGAGTTATGTGATAAAGGTATGAAAATAATATGTATACGTGATACAAATTAGGTGAATTGTGAAAGCCCATGTTATGTAGATGAGAACTATAGGTATAGTTGGCATGCCAAGGGTAGAGGGTCTATGCGGTCCTTCGAGATATATATATATTCTTTGGAACATGTGTGAAGTCTTGTGAGACACATGTTTGATCCCTAGTATATGTATATGATTCTTAATGAATGATATGTGGTCCTTATGGACATTATTATATGGCACTCTGGTGAAATTCTATGCGGCACTCTGGTGCAATTCTACGTGGCACTTCGGTGCAATTATACGAGCTGTGGTGACAGCATAGTGCACAACCTCACAATACTCACATACCTTAGGTTCTCTGTATGGTACCATGGGCTAATAAACTTAATAAGGTGAACTTATGAATGTGAATTTGATAAGTATATGTGTAAGAAACATGGTTCTGGTTATTGCATTGTTTACATACATCTTATCATTGCAACCCATCTCATTTTAGCAATTACTTTATATTTATTGATATTATTATATTGCCTCACTAAGTCGATGACTTAGCGTGTGAGTGTTTCACACGTAGGATCCGATAAAGTAGATGATTGAGGTTAAGCAGCTGGACAACATTACTCCTGCAACTATCAGATCAGAAGCAACTTAATCAGTAGGTCATTTTGTTATGAAAATGGATGTTGGCATGTAACTAAAGAGTTAAGTTGTGTATGCTCTGAATATTTTGGTAAACTTATATTACCATATGTATATTATCGTATTTTGTTAATATAAGTTCAAGTATTTTGCTATTATTTGTAAGAGTTGTGTTTTAAAAGTCAATTTAATATCTCTGACTCGTATCCGGGTTGGATATGGGTTGGGGGTGTTACAGCGCCCATAATTGCCCTCGGTTATATGTTGTCTAAATAGTGAAATTTTATTATTTGAATCCAAAATTTAAATTTCGATCATTTTATGTTGATGACAAAAAAAGAGTGAATCTTTGCAAAATATTTGATTTGATAAAAATAATTTAATTCATTCATTTTTATATAAAAAGGATGTCCACTTGCTACGTGAATTAACGTAAATGGAAATCCAGATATGTTTGACGTAATTTCGTTAATCCACGATACAAAAAAAACGTTACCCTTGATTAATTTGAAAAACGATAAAATAAATGCATGATTTATGAGTGCAACAGTAACAGATGTCATGTATAGAATGGATGAAATATTTACATAATATGACAAATGAATAGACTAAAATAACGGGATAATAAAATAAATACACAAACAATGAATATTTATTTATTAGAATAATCTTGTAAAAAACAAAATTATTTAAACATGCACCTTTATTTAAAGTGAATAAGATACATCTAATTATATTAATATATCCCAAAGTATAAATAAGAAACAAGTAATAATATTAAAATTATTTTATTCAAATAACCTTCGAAAGGGCATCCCAATTTTTTGGAGGTCTCCCATAAGTTAATCGAACAG